TAATGTAATGTATTTTCACAATGCATGCTATAGTTTTTTTCTAAATGCGAAACATTTTACTGCGTAATGTGTATAATATTGATACATATGTATAATGTTGGAATAAATTTATGTATCGTCTTTCCTAAACTCTATCGCATTTTTGTTTCTCGTAGAAAAGGAAATGTGCTGATTCATTTTGCATTCATCATTCATCGATTTGAACCGTATTTGTCCAAAAATTCATGACAGAGATTCTATGGTTGAAAAGTCTTTCGATTCGATCGGTTGGTTTTTGTTTGGCAACACATTTTCTGGGCTTCTCAATAGGTATATAAATGAATGATTTCACATTTACGTTTCAGTTAATATCATTAGGAGTCGTTGAATTTCTTCGTCCACTGGCACTGTTCTATCATGCGATCACATTGGTACCTCCACCAGAAGCATTAAAAGGTTTACTATTTATCAGTGGTGTTTTTTTCAACTGTTTTGTATATCTAACATGCAGAAACAAGTTTGCAGTTATATTGTCCATTGTCAGTGAAGAGAACGTTTTAGCGAAGGTTACACTGCTGAACGATAGAATTCAAAATACTTCACATTTCGATGCTTTGCTTTAGATCCGTCGCTGAACGAATTCGACCCGCTTTGTCGGTATCTTGGTCTGCCAAATCAGTTGATCGACATGCTGCGTGGTCCTTGTGTACAACGGCTGTTCGCTCAGTTAGTCGTTTTTCGTTGCGTTTGCTTTGTTGATTTTCATTCACCAGTTTTCTCGCCTCATCTTTTATTCGTGTTTTAAAAAATGATGGCCGATTTCACAAACATATTTCATTTATTTGTGAACTTCAGATGGAGTCTGCAGCAAACGGTTGTTCCGGTTCCAGATATTGTAAATCAGCCGGTGCTGGAGAATCGATTAGTGAAGTTGCCACAGGATTTTGCTGACCTCATTAACGATGCGTCTACTTTCAAGTAACTCTTTTTATCATTTCGTTGTTTTTTTTTTGCGTTATTAGTTTTAAATCTATGAAGAACTCGTTTTGATTTCAATGGTCATTTATTAGGTTTGTCATTGCATTCCTTCAGAAAAATATAGTTATATTTCGCGCAATCACATAATTGCTTTTTGTGGATCGTTTAATATGAGAAGAGAATGACGAATTTACACCAATAAAAGTACGATTCGAGAAATCTTTGTGAGAATATTATTGAGATTGCACACAGAACGCATATTTAATATGTTACGTTTTGCTTTTAGATGTCCTTCTATACAGATGGACGAACACGTATCGTCAATTCCGACGTTATGTCTCGTTTGTGGTTCTCTGCTATGTTCACAGAGTTATTGCTGTCAAAGAACGGTGATCTTTTCATTTGCATTTCAAATCGCTCGTGTTGTATCGATATGTTCGAAGCTTTCGAAAGAATNTTCATATTTGTTGTGTTCATTCCACTTGTTACGTTTATGCGTATGAATGTCATCGCAGTATTGTTTGGCGATAGAAAATTAAATTGAACTTAATTTTTTGTTCATTTGACAGGATCCGTGACAGTCAAGTGATATTGTTGACTTCACGTGCTCGTGGCTGTTTCCATGCAGCACCGTACGTTGATGAATTCGGAGAAACTGATTTCGGTTTTAGGTTAATTTTGAATATTTATTCAAATTTCTAATAGATGCTTTCTTCTGAACAACTTCGAATTTTCTAGTTAGGTTTAATAATGTGGCTATTGAGTACGAGTGATTCTGATGAAGTTTTATTCGGAAAAGAGTGGCCTTTTGCTGTCGCACAATTTTATGTCAGTGATCAAAAATAATTATCGTCGAACGAGAGAATTTATTTTTTCGAAGTCATTTTCGTAGGTTCTGCTCGTCGAATAACTGAAATATTGTTTGCAACTTATAGACGTGGTAATCCGTTGCATTTGAATGAAGAATTGTACGCAAAATTGGAACACATTTGGCTGCATCAAAGCATATGCGAGGAGGTTGTTGATCAGTATGAAATCGATCAACGAAATATTGCGTTTGAGTGGCAACATTTTTAATGCGTGTTGTTGGCCGTGTTCTTAGTCGTTGAGTTTCTTGGTTATCGGAAGGGAATTTGAGTCGTTCAGAATGAGCGCTAACCGTTATGGTCGATCGTTTTTGTCGTTATTTGATCGATTCAGAGTACTTTTTCGTGTGATCCTTTTGATTCCGAATGCAGACACCCAAATCGATTGAACAGAACATTCTATTGCCTCTATATGAAGGTACGTCAAGAAGGTAAAAGATCTTTGACATGCAGTCATTTTATCATCATTTCTTATCGTTTTCATTTTGTTGTTTTCATAACCGTTATCCATTTATTTGTAACGTTCAGTGTTTCTAATATATTTTACTTGTATCGTCAGTGATTCAGTCAGATATTACAGTGAGCAGCTTTAAACGGATTCGACGTTCGTTTCGTTTTGTATTTCTGAGAAAATTTATTATTTAATCTGACTCACCAACATTTCATTCTCATTGTTTTCATTTCTGTCTTGATCATCGAGATGACCTACAACCGTCTGATGTCGACTTGCGTTCATTTTGATGAGATGTTGATCTAGTAGTGGGTCATTTTATGAAGCATTCGGTTGAGTGGGTGATTATGAGTTTTGGTGATTTGCTGAGAGTTGGAGATTAGTTCATTTCGTGGAGCAGTATGCTTTGTTGAGTGTTGTGGGTGATTTCTTCGAAAACGTCGATAATTGGGTTGAGATTAGAGTGAATGAGCATATGATAGGGTCGTATGTCACAAAAATCATATCGTATGATTCAGGATTGTAAGATCTGGCAAAAAGCTTGACTACATTGTCGTTAATCGTTAGCTGTACGAATTAATCAGATGTTCGATGAGTTGAAGTATTTGTCAGGAGACTTTTCCACCGGATACTTTTATTGTATTTTTGTCGTAGGTTTTTTCAGTTGAATGAATGAATAATTCGGTTCGGTAAATAAATTTCTTCAATCTAGGAACTGCAATTGAATTAATTGTTTTTGTTCGCGTGTTCCACTGAAAACTAAGAATATGAGATATTCTATCTTTATAGATGGTCTTCTATAAATTTGTACATGTTCGAGTACGTCTCACTTCTTTTTCGTTTCCCATCAATCCTTTTGCTGTTAACAGTTCTAGTTTTTGCATAAAACATCCTCAGCTGTTTGTTTTGGAACAGTATTTTTTACCGAATCTGCCACTGAATATTTTAAACAAGCGCAGTTCTCGGTTCTGTCGGATAGAATCTATTTGTAATATATGTACAAGATGAATGCTGAATTTTGAATGTTCAACCTATTCTTTTTAAGGTAATACTGTCCTGTTCTTTTTTCTTTGATATTATGTTCTACAGTAATCTCATCATTTTTTTCTCTTTTTTCGATTGTTTTTTCCTCCCTTCTTGGAATTGTTCTCTGAAAACAATTAAAGCGGTAAGTGAATGAACTGATGTGAGTGTGCGTATTGTTTCGTGGTTTTACGTTCCCATCCCCTCCCGCTCTCTAATTCTTTTGGGACTTCCATTATTCATTGTTGTTTATATCCATAACAGAATTCGATTGTCACCGAAAGTGATAATGTTACGTGATAAAAATGTTGATTGAGGGAATGTCTGACTGGAATGTAATGGCTGAATATGAACCGAGCCAATGCGTTGATACTCGTTTTTCGTCTCCGTCAATTGTACTATTCAGTTGTTCACGTGTCTCAATGTGATCATTCGACAACGTTGAAAAATCAGCTGGAAGTCAATAATTTCAATAATATCATCAAATCAGTTTGTTTGTAGAGGATAGTTCCGTACACGAAGATGGATTTTAAAAAGTTGTACGAAGTGTGCAATATACGAGTAATCAGTATGTATATGAGTGAATAAAAGGAGTAATCAATAACAATAATGGATTGTGAGTGAAATATGCACATACAACAACAATCCGAAGAGCGATCATGAATTTTTATCATCAGATGAATCTGTTTTTGTCATCATTATCGTGACATTCAAACAACGAAGAAAAACCGAGCAGGAGTATTATTAAAATAGACACAACATTTAATCTTACAAGTTATACATGTCCCAAGATGCTATACAATCTATTCCTCTCTCACACCGACGTTCCCTCATCTTCTAGCTGTTCGTTTCCCGCAAGCAACCGATATTCAAATGTTGCTCTGAGTGGACCATTCAAAAGGACAAGCTGATCGATCTCAATCGTCGTTCATTCATTTCAATCGAATTCAGTGATCTTTCGAGCGTTCCTTCGAGCCGCTAGTTACGGATATATCGATTTTGTGATGATCAATTACTACCATTTGATTATTCGAACGATAGGATTTTTAGGCCAATGACGGATGCAAAATTTCCTCGTTTCATTGTAAATAACTAGCACGGTGCCCGCTATCGGCCCATACATCCATACCTAAAATTGGCATTTCATGCGATGAATACAATCAGTGGAAAACCGAATGGTCTCGTTGTTAGGTGATGATCAAAAAGAGTTTGAAGCAAGTGGAATGATGCACAATAATTTAACCAAAAGTTTTTCGATCTCAATTCAGTGAGGAGCGATGGACTTCATAATTGATCAAAAAGGTGCAAGAGAAGCTGCATAGATTTGAGTACGTACGTATATATTTGATAGTATAATGTACAGAAATAATGTATGTATCCGTGCATATTGTTTTATTGTTACTTGGACATTGAATGGTTGCTTTGTCAATCGCTGTGAGCGATCGGCGGAATGTTTATTTTATTAGAGTCATGATTATTTATTGGATTGGTATTTGGTTACGTTTAATTATGCAAAGTATNCACGGCAACTAATTAATCATTTGGTTGTAATCGGGTGGCCTGCTTGCCTAGGCAGCGGGGTGGCGTAAATTGAGGCTAAAACGATGTGCACGGAAACGTGAGCATTGTGGCCAGCAACGTTACAAACGTTTGATAGCCTGGTCAGTCCAGGTAATGATGTACAGAAAATACTCAAAAGAGATTGTGAAGTGCTGATGTGAACGAATGTGGTCATTTTGGTACTTTGTGTTTTGCGAAAGAAAGCAAACCTGAGTAGGCGGCGTATTCGTGTCCATAATATACTGCACGGCTGGCGTATAAACGAAAAGATTCAACAAGAGTAATTCAATGATAACTGCGAACGAGTGGTGCACATATATAAATGGAAAACCTGAAATATGAGTGGCGTGATAGTTTGGTGAAATGATCACGCCAAATCATTCGAACAATTCTTTGCCTGTGCAAAAATCTCATTCTAGGAATTCTTGGAACAATTTCAACCATCCAAAAGGATTTACAGAGAGTGACTCTTGTGAACTGAACAAACCTGAGTGAGCACAAGCGTAATCTGCCAAGCAGCGGCCGCTTGTCCTTTTATATACAGCTGTTCCTCTTCTGAGAAAACTAGTCCATCAGAAGTTGTGAAATTTTGCGCTCCCACTTTCCAATTATATTCGGCCGTGAATAGTAGATCTTGGAGTGCGATTCCATGACTCCTTCAAACAGAGAATGCTCAAATGCACGCATATAAGTAAACTGTTGTAAATTCAACTGTCGGAAATTTTTCAGAGTAAGAAAGCGATAAAGCACTCAAGATTTGTGCAGAAATTAGATCAAGAAATTCGATATGTGTTCACGGTTTCGCAATCGTAACAAAAATAAAGTGACGAACGAATAACGCAGTCAGCATCGAATATCACTGACAGATTTCAAGCTCAGTTGGAATTCATTTAGATAAAACTAATGAAAAATCAGTTTATTAGCAAGTCTGCAAGTGATCAACCGATGATGATAATTTCCAGCAAGATTGTTCGTAACTAACCAATAAACAGATAAATAGGCCATAATACAGCCAGCTGTGATGATCGTACCGGCAAACAGATACGAATAAATCAATAGTGAACGCGAGACGAGTCTAGCATCTCGACGTCGAGGACGAGAATGCATAATTGCCGTTTCAGGAGTTTCGTATGCTAGCGAAATAGCTGGTGGAAGCTCACTGGCTAAATCAACACTCAATATCTGAAATGTCAGTACAATTGTCCAGAAAAATCAACTTGACCCATATTTTGATCTGATCATATTTTCAATTGTTCGATGAGAAGTGCTACTGATGAATGTGGGGATCTGACTTCAAATATACTTTATATAAATTGTCTTCTCATCGGTGCACATTGATAAAGTATTGTTTTTTGTGGAAAGTGCTGTGCAGAGATGGAAACGTTCCACGAGTTTTACCTGAAGCGGTGATAGCCCAAGTGGCATGCCCAGCGTGAAATGAAGTACCACAGGGAATATTTCAGGCCAAAGATGCGCTAACGTATAAGCGATTGAGAGACGAAGATTATCGAAAAGCAGTCGACCCTCTTCAATACCTTTCACAATGGACGCGAAATTATCATCTGTCAGAATTATATCGGCGGCTTGTTTTGCTATATCGCTGCCTGCAAACGACAATAACTGTGCAACATTATGACACAAATTGAACTTGTGATGTCCGTAAGATCACCTAAGATTCAGTGTGAAAATCGAGTTTTTGAGGTGATTAATAACTTCGAATTGGAGTTTCGCANCACCGACTAATTTAATGGTTTCGTAGAAAATATTTCTGAAATATGGATTTCCACTTAAATGTTCGCGTTCACTAATGAAAGGACTGGTTTCGAAGTGCAACCAACCGTTTACGCCCATCGCAATGCCAACATTAGCATTCGCTAGTGCTGGAGCATCGTTGACACCACCTCCAGTCACCGCCACTGTTTCACCGCGTCGTTTACATTCCTCCACTATCTGTAGTTTTTGTTCCGGAGTTGTCCTAAAATGAAAATTGAAGACATCAGAAAACTGCTAGTACTCGTTCCGGAATAGCAGTTTCTAAGAGCATTCATTCTCTCACACGAAAATTGAACATCATTAAGGATTAATGCAAGATAAAACCTTACGGCGGTTCGCAGGTCCGCTCACTGTCCTCTTCGAATGCCGAAAATTTCCTCCTACGCGATTGAAAACATGGAATTCTTTACAGAACACTCACACGAAATGACGAGCGATTTCGCAAACTGTTATGGGCACGAAGCAAAAACAGTTACCCGAATGACGAATGATTAATTTCCCAGTGTGCACTTCCGGGCCGTTAACTGATTTTTTATGACAACATACTGGATTAGTGGATATTGTATTAAGTACAATATTGTGGATTAGTGTTGGATTACAGTATTAGTGGATATTACAATATGTACAATATTGTGGATATTAATATAAGTGTTGGATTAGTGTTTTCCTAATTTAAAGCATGACACCTTGAAATCTATGCCCTTTTTGTGAGCCATCACACAAACTGTTACATAATTTGAGACTCTCAACGGAAGAGATGAATTCGAAACAAATCTCATCACACTTCAGGGCTTCTCAATATCATTGTGCACCAATAGTTCAACAGCTGTTTGCTTGAAGAGAAGAACCAGTTGAATCATTTTCGCAACAATAAAAACAACCATTAACTGAAGTGGATATCTTAGGGTTTTAACTATGTAATTTGAGGTATATTCATCGCAATTTATTCATCTCCCTTCATTTGATTCAACGCAATATTACACACTCAAAACTTGTGTGTCTTCATACACTGCATATGGGTGCTCTTGAGATACGTGCGTTTCTGCAGATGCTTCACTTGAACTGGTCATATTTATAAGCTGATTGAGCTCTATTAAACTGTGAAGAGGGTCACCACAATGAATCGACTGAAAGTCAAGCAAATATCGACCAGCAATCGTACATATAATTGATTCGATTCATATTTTTCAAAAATGTGATGGCTTGACGCGAAGAAACATCCTGTTGTGTGAGCAGGAAGAAATTTTGCTTTATAGAGGCATACTGCCTATTGGCAGTTAAGTTTTTTCATTTCAGTTATAAACTGATGAAGCGTTAAAATTTGAGTAGTATGCCCAATCGTGAATATCAACGTTTCGCGGACTTCGTTCCAGTATATGAACATACATATGTTGGACATGATATAAACTCAAATTCAAAACTTGTTCATTGTTCACAGGATCGATCGTTACACATTCAAAATCAACTAATAATAATAAGAGCTGCAATGATCAGTGTCGCAGTATGACTGAAGAGAAACATTTTACGTGATAAATACATGCATATTGAAAACATAAGCAGCAGGGTACAATGAACAGAATAATGCACGGTGAATGAATGCTCTTCAGCGAATAATTTTAAACGGCAGTAGAATATTGGATAAGAAAACAATTCATTCCCTAAAGAAGAACAAAAGCGATCAGTTAAAAAACTATCGTTCACATCTAATCAACTGTTAAATTTAATAAGAGAGACAGCTTGGCAGTAGAATACAAGCAGAGATAGGACAATTTTGTAATCCAACATGGAGGAGATCCCCAATGTTCTCCACTCCATCGTTGATTGTGGAAGATTATGGAAAAACGGAAGAATCTCCACGCGTTCTCGTTACATTCGAAAACATTTTAGAATAAATACCTCAATGAATCAATGAATCCAAAGGCATATTGACTAGCAGCACGTTCAGATNAGTTTGACGAAGACGTGTAAGTACCTGATAAACTATGGGTACTTTTAAAGCATTTAAAGCCTGCGTATGCGCGAAATTTTGATCATAGGAAATTGCTTAGATTTCCGAAGATTTAATAAAAGGTTGAAAATGTCTGAAGCACCAACTTCTCAACGATTTTAAACTAGAGAATCCGAAATGACTTTTGACATTCTTACGTCTTGTTCTGTTGTGGAGAAAATGATCTATTGCAAAGGAGACAAGGAACCGAACCTTGAAGTTCGAAGTTTTCAAATGAAAACTTCAATATTGAACATTTTGTTTAGCAAAGTCATTTCCGGAATATTTTCGTGTCCTGTGATACACTGACAGGGATGATAATGAGGATAACTGCGATAAGAAGAATAATAGGATCACTGATAAATAGTGATTAAACTGTGAACTGAACCGCAAAAAGCACACGACAAAACACGCTAGCAGATTCAATATCGTTTATGATCAAGCAAACCGTATACGATCATGACAAATGCACAACAATAATTTCACAGTACAATATTGCATAACGATGCCATCAATAAGATGAATTCGAATTAGAGCAAACCTTAGGGCTTATGAGACAATTTAGCTAGATGAAACTGAAAATGAATGGTAATCGAAAAACAAATTGGATACGTAAACGACATTTCGATAAATCCATCCATAATGTATCGACAAACAACGATTAGACAATTTTTTGTTGTAAATAATTTTCTTTGAAAAATATTTTTGCTGAAAAAAAANAAAAAAAATCGATCATATTCGGCGTGTTATTCAACACATCAGATTCAATCCTCTTCTACAACATAAACATCGGTAGCTTTACCAACCGCCACTGTACCACGATGCTTGGCACGAATCAAATTCAACGAACTTTCGGCTTGATCCGCACGACCTTCGGCATCCTCCAACTCACGTTGGTATCGGCGAACTCGTTGCAGATTTTGCATGGTCATCGCTTCGGCTTCACCCAATTGACGTTTCTGGATATTCAACTTCTCGAGCATACGATCAGCGGTATCTTGTGCCATCACGAACATCTTGTGCTCTTCATCGATCTGCATTTGCACTTCCTTGATACGACGATCCTTCTTGCGCAATGCGCTCTGTGTCTCTTTGTGTCGTCGAGTCTCCTCGTCCAATGCCACTTCCAGGTCACGAATGCGTGTTTCGAGCTTAGCGATAACACGTTTACCGCCGAGTAGTGCCGCTGCTTCAGCTTCTTGAATTTGTACTTGAAGTTGTTTCACTTGCTCTTCGAGACTTTTACGAAGAGCATCGATCTTCATTGAGTGCTCTTGTTCCTCGTGCAACTCTTGCACTGCACGTGCCGCATCTGCTAATGCGCGATTCGCACGTTCATCTGCTGCATGCAACTCTTTGGTGACCTCGTCCAAATCTGCTTGTGCCGTCGATAGCTCGGTTTCGAGTTTATTCTTGATTGCAGTCAAGTTGCTGTTGATCGATGTCAAGTCCGAGATGCGTACCTGAATAATGCGCACTTCTCATTACAATCCTGCTATGAACTACGAACAAGTGATTGATTCTATGGGCAATTCTCCATCAACAACACCGATATCCACATTAAGCGTATGATGAATACCACCCATATTCGTTGTTCATGAAGGAATGAAGTGAAGTGTGCGTTTTGCTCGAGCATTTCGGATGTGTGATCTTCGGTTTCGTACTGTTTTCAGATAAAAGTAATTTTTTTAGAATTTACGAAGACAAGACAAAAAAAGCAA